TTTTTGAGGGGATAGTTGCATCAAGGGTAATTGAGAAGCTCTGAGAATGTGATATCAACACTATCAACACTCACTCCACTTATTACTCAATATGCTCCTTTCTGACATTTCAATTGAGATTGCTGTGTTATAAAACAGACACTTCTGTTTCTGCCTATGCATACTCAGTGTGTATTTTTTTAAATGAAATATAAGACTTTTAAGGCAAGTAAATACTTTATATTTTTTAAAAGGCCATGCAGTTGCAACACGAGTCATGTGCGCACACTAAATGTTTACGAACACGTTTTATTCGATGAACATACTCGGGGTATTAATCACGTGCTTGCTGAAAGGTCGTTTATGCCAATATTCGGTGGGGATTTTATTCCCCAAACTACCAATATTTTTTGGCAAATCGTTATTTTTTTTGCTCAGAAATTAATGTAAAAGCAGTTGCCACCCATCGCATGAATCGGACCTTGTATCAAATGTCACAATACAGCGCCGAAGCGCGTTTGCTTTTCAGTGAGTAACCAAAAAAAACTTTAATATATATTTTTGTTAAACTCAAAAATAAAAAAAATAAAAACTCGCGCGGTTTTAAGATGTTGCGCCCATTGTATGAAAATTGCGCAGAGCAACAAAGTCGGCAGTGAAACGTTTAATGCCCCCGAGAGGGCCCGGGTCAGCCGCAGGTACCGGCGCTGATGCCTGCCGCCGCGCGCGACTTCATAATCGCTGGAACTCGGCGGCTGCAGAGCCGCGCGCCTCCACTGCCCGGGACTCCCGTCCCAGCCGGGGCCCCGACGGCCTGCGCTCTGAGACAATGCCGCGTTGTTCTGCCCCAAATAACTCCCACATGTTACAAATACCTTAATGATGCAATTATTTGCATGGCATCAGTCCTTCATTAAGATTCGTGCTTTGGGCTCCAGAAAGCATGGCGCGCAGCAGCAGCGCAGGTCGCTTTGCAGTTTGTCTCCCTGGCTGCCCGCACAGCCCCGCTCGCGGAGCCAGCCCAGGCTGCTGCTGCTCATACAACCCTCGCTGCTCACCCCCCCCCCCCGCCGCTGCTCGCCACCCCCCGCCACCCCAGCCCCTCCTACGTGCCTCCACTACCCTCGGCACGCAATTAGTAAATCATTTTAATTCCCCCCCCCCCCTCTTTTTTCAGAAATGAGTCGGTGGTTACCAAATTAAAAAAATTACTTTGGAGTTAGGATGCAGTGCGCGCAATTGGGAGTGCTGCGTTGTTTCAGCTGGGTCCCCGTGTGTGCTTGTGCGCGCGTGTGTGCGTGCGTTCGTGCGCGTGTGTGCATCTCGCACACGGGGCGCGCCGCTTGTTGTTGTCTGACGATCAGCCTCCCGTTGCCAGAGGTCTGACCTCCTCGCTGTTTAACATCCCACGATGGGGGTCACCGGTCACGTTTTTGGAAATGCGGATCGGGCGGGCTGATTTTTCTTTCTGCTCCGTATATCGTTCTTTCTTCAAGGGAGCCGCTGCCGCCGCTGCATTGTATTCGGTGATCAAAACAGCAACAACAACAAAAAACATCACGAAACGCTTGGAAAAACACACGATTAATTAAAACGATAAGATTTTTTTTTTACCCAACCGAAAAAAAAAAATCGGGTTTTATTTCGGCAGGTTCGCATCTAGGCACGGCTTTCTGGACTACCTGACAATAGCTTTAGAAAGAAAAAAAGCTTTTAAAGTAACTGAGGAGCTCCACCGTAGAGTGTTCGAGCAAGATTAAAATGTATGCCGTGTATTATGATTAATCCCTGCCACAAACCTTGATTTCAGGACGTCGCATTGACGGGTTAAGAAAAATAAGTTGGCTTGATCCGGGCACGTCACGAAGAAGTGACGATGGCCGGTGGTCGAGACGAACAACGGAGTGGCAGCTCGAGGGGTGGAGTGTGCACCAGAGGACGTCGAAAGAGATGGAGTTGCTGTGGGGTGGATTGTGGCATCGGGGCACCGTGAGGGATCGCCAAAGCTCGTGGAGGTCTTCATCCAGTGGCGATTGGCCGTGGGTGATTTATGATTTCATCAGATAATAACAATACGATTTATGGTCGTGTTATTAACATTATTTTTGTAAGTATTGAATACCGAGAGATTTGGTTAATTGTAATAATTTGTCACTATTTGGGATTGCGATTCAATTGAGGAATCGTTGACAGTTTATTGTATCGTTTCTCATTGTCTCTTGTTCGTAAATTTGTCTTCTCTTCATTAGCCTCATTTAAAATCTATCTTAGGATAATCATTTTCATATGATTTGCGTAATATTTACATAATACATGTTCACACGTACGATGCAATGCATCAGTCGCTAACGTCAGAACGATGAAAAGTTGCTTTGATTCATAACTTGTACTACTTAACGTTTACAAACAATGTTTCGTCATTAGCTACATCTGTCTTATGGTAAGGATATTAACGTACAACCCTTTGTCACTACCACCGGTGATGAATATCTGCCTAAACCTCGTTGTTTCTCTTGAAGGACGGGATTCTCTGTTTAATAGGGGCTGTGCAAAAGCCAGTAAACCATGCGCTGTTCCAAGGTGATGTGCTGCCATGGTATGTCTATATTAAGGCCATACTGGATCCCGAACCAAGTGGAATATTTTAATCACTCCGCCCTTGATTAACGGTAATATCGTCTCAAATCCTATGAGCCCAAATGCAGCTGCATGCTCAGGCTGTCTGCTATTAATCCTCTGACAATAAACTTTACTTCGGCCTCGTTCCAGGCTAAGGGATCCTTGCTAGCAGCAAAGAGGTGGAGCAGACTGCCGTGGTCTCCCCGCAATGCAGAATGCCTCTGGCTTGATGTATCACCGAGTCTTGCGCCACGGCAGATGCTAATTATTACAAACTTTGTGGATTTCATTGCAGCAGAAACGGCTGGTTTGACGAAATATTAATCTCATCGAAACTCCGTTGTGGCGTTTGCATATTTTTAATAAAATGTAATTTCCAATTATGCTATCAGCGTCATGTCATGAGACCAAAAATAAAATTGAAATCGCAGAGCGGTTCGCCGCATTTGGCACAGAATGGGCCCCAGAAAAGATTTTTCGCTGCACTTCAGAAAAAACCTTTCCATTGGACTCTCTCTTCTTTATGCAGTCGGGCGCCTCACTTTCCCACGAACTCCGCTATGAGATTGGTGCACGAGGCAAAGCGATATTTATAATTATGAGTGCTGGGATTTAGACAAATTGCGTAGAAAACCGAACAATACATTGGCATGTTTCATGCAGTTATTGGTGATACTTCTGAGACTATCAACGTGCTATCCAGGTTTTTGATCACCCAAAATGCAAACTCCATCCTCATCATAAAGAGATGGTCAACGTGAGTTGGAGGCTTCTAAAAGTAAAATGTGATTCATTGGTTTTTTTCCCCCTGAAAGTAAAATCACATTCTAGGGTGAAGTGAGGTTGACGTCACAAGTCTAAAGTATTTCTACACGATATAAACTATTGTAGAGCATGTACAGAAAATTATGGCGTTTGTATAGTGATTAGGTGAGGCCTAGATCTGAGGACTTGTTTGATAGGCCTGCATGAAAGCCCCTCTTGGTCAGCCAACGTAACAGACTCCACTTAGTTTATTAAACTTTGCCTCAAGGATTTTAGGGAAGGTCACGATGTCTCAGGCTGGCCATTCTGCAACACGATACTTTGCTCTGCTGCTGTTCTAGGGAATTCTCTCTCTCCGAGTGAGTGAACTTTGTTTGGTTTGTTATGCCTCTTGTTGTATTACAGTGAGATTAGCATCGCCATGATTACATTATCTTGCCAGGTTTAAAATGTCATTACATCTCGAAGTTGATTCATAACGGTTGAACATGTGGACCCAAGGCCCACAGATTTATAAACACAACAACATACAACTAAACATACTATCATTACAAAATAAATATTCCGTATATATCGTAAAGAGCACACCACATTCGTACAATAAAACAGCAGACGTTAACTCCACTGATTGTGGAAGCGTCTCTCCCCTGGGGAAACGAATGCTGTACCCCTTTAGTCCGCTGTACATGTGTAACGGGTTCCGGAGACACTTGTAGAGATAACTTCTTTATTACAATCCAACACTCCAACAGTCCAATACTCCAACTTTCCAGCACTCCTGATACTCTGTTACAACTCCCAGGTACACAGCCTAGGTACACAGCCTAGATACTCTACTCTGGCTATGCTCTGGAACTCGCCCTCACAAGGTCGTAGAGTCGGGAGTTCCAGAGTCCCACCACTCGCTCTCACAGCATCCCAGGGTCCTCAGATGGCTGGTCTTGTGTCTTGGGTCTTGAGCTTCGACTGGCCCTGATCGTCCAGGGAGCTCCCCTTTTATGCCCAGTCCCCAACGAAGGGTGGGGCCGTGTGCGCCTCCAGATATCCCACAGAGCACACATAAGCGCCTGGGAACCCAACGCTTGACGCCAAGAGGCTTAAGTGCCTGGCCCTCCCAGGGTCCCAGAGCCCCCAGCAGCCCCTCCCTTCTTATGTCACTACACATGCAACTGGGCCCTGCCGAGGCAGCCCTGCACGGCTCAGGGGGCGCCCGGCTCGTTTAGACACTGCAGGACCCGGAGCTGCTGTGCCACTCACGTCGCACGCGTCGCACGCGTCGTGGATGCACATGCACGGCGCGGTGCCTGCGCGTCCTCACACTGCGCCGAGTGAAGCCGCGGCGAGCGAACGCCGCCGGTGGCCCCGCCGCGGCCCCGCTTGGGCCCGCCAGTCCAGATTTGGACGTCACGTGAGGCCAGCGTATTCCAGCTCGGCACGAAAGCTCGCCGGTGGAACACCACACGCACTGCGAGGCGCCCCCCGCTTGCTTGGCTCGCTTGTGCCAGCGGTCATGGAGGTGTAGAAGTAAAGTTGCGCTATTTGGTTCTAGTAGCTGAGTTTATTTATTTTGTTGTGGCTGACGATCGTGGCTGCCCTGGTCGCCCCCCCTCCCCCCGTGCCCCCCCCCCTCTCCCTAGAGGACCTCCTGGTCGTGCCGGGGAGCGGCTTCTCGACGACGCCTACCGCTTGCTGCCGCGCTCGCTGCCGTGGCCCGACCACACCGCGCTGGCCGCGGCGCGTGCTCTGATTCACCTGCAGCGGACGCACGCCGGCCACAACCTCAAGCTCTTCCGCAAGCTCGAGCAGGTCGGTGGGCCGGGAGAACGCTCGTGCGGCGCCGCTCAACGCGAAGGGAAACCGCCGGTCTCCACTCGTCAGAAGGATTAGTTCCTGAAACGAAACCGACAAATTAAAATGTCGCAGGTATGAGTTATGTATGCTGTCAACGGGGGACCTGCAGCGGAAGGACAACATTCTCGCGGTTAGCACACCGGATTTGCAATCCAGAGGTCGTCGCTCCGATTCGATCTCCCGGCACGGCAGTTGAAACAACGGTGGAAGGTTTTAACATTTCCACCCTCCCCACTGTCTCTTTGGACTCAGCGGTGTAACGGGGTCGCAACACAGCTAGCCCATTGGTAGGGCACGTGTGGTGGGGTGTAGTGTGTGTACTCCCACTTCTTCCAAGACATCTGACTAGCGTAGAAGAGTAGGCCAAAACACTCTCTAGAGCCTTCTCCTTTGGGGAGACCCTTCCGCTAGTATGGCCTGAGCAAGCAATTGAAGGGCTGCACCTTTGCCTATTTCCACTTGTTCACCCTTGTACAGTACGTAAAAACAACAGCATTAAAACGTCACAACATATAAACCACACCTTTGAGTACATTTTGGAATGAAACACTCGCTGACGTGTAGAGACACTTTATCTTGTTTTAATTATTGTGCTTAAATATACGTGAATGTAGACCATCGTTGTTAACTCTCTGGCGGCTACTCAACAAGTCATGCATTGCACATTCATGTCCTGGATCAGTGGCAAATGTTTGCCTGTGTGAGGGGAGTTCATGTAAATATGACCTTTCAACCGGCGAACCGAGCAGGACAAGTCAAGATCGTCTTCGGCACTTGCTGAAGCAAAACCTGCTGAGGTGCTCCCAAAGTACGAAAGCACAGCGGTGGTCGCAGTGGGAACACCCGCGCCTCACGGCAATATGGGCCTGGGTTCGATTCCCAACTCGGGTGCCGTTTTGTGAAGAGTTATGGGTATTCTCTCCCCCTGTTCTGCATGGGTTTAAAACCATTGGACCGGGTATTTTGGTCAAACATCACAACGCTGAAACATGACTTGCAAGTCACTCAAATGGGATTACACAGCAGCCTCCCCACCTCCTCCTACTGCACAAGTATGGCAGGAAACTCCTTTAGAAGGAGTTTTGAGAGCCAGTGAGGCTTCCCTGGGTGATAAGGCGTCGTCGTCGTAATAATACGAGTGCAGTTTGTAAACTCGCATACCCAGTGTGTCCGCGAAATAGCGGGCTCGCCATGGTGATTCGGGGTGCGATGTTACGTCACTTTCCTTCACAAGGCCCCTCTGCTATATCCACAAACAACACATTGAGCCCACGTACAGCTCGGAGTTTGCTCACCAATTCCGTAGAGTTCCGCTCCACCGCCCTGTGTGGCACAGCACTAGAATGGGACCCCACTGGCCCCGTGGCCCGCGCAGCCTGGAGACGCCGCTGGCAGCGAGGCGTCGTGCCGCTCCGTTTCTTTGGGCCTGAGGAGAGTTCGGTTTTCGTGATAAAGAAAAAAGAAATCCCAATATATTTATTTTAGATATTTTGTCGCAAAAACATCAACGGCACGTGGGACATCACAACTGTCAGCAGATATTGTCATGCATTAATTTTTCTTTCCCCTTCTTAATGTATTCTTTAGATAGACAAGAATAAGGACGTGAGCAGTCATACATTCTGCATATACACAAAGACAAATATCCCCCCCCCCCTGTAGCCTCAACAGATTATTGGAGCAGGTACTGCTAGCGAGCGCCTCTGAAGGCTGGCACGGCACAAGAGCGGGTGGGTAGCCGGCACCACGTCCGGCCGCCTTTGTCTCCCCACTCTTGATGTTTACACACCGCAACAGGTACTCTTGGAGGCTGAGTCGACCTCGGAAAAGTCCAGCACCGGTTCAAATAATCGTCGTTGTTGTTGCTTGCGAGCGGGATTCGAAGTCGGGTCGCCGGGTTCGTAGCGCAGCGCGCTAACCGCTGCACCACCGCTCCCCGTAGTGTACACAGTACACACATACACAATTTGTGCACGAACACACAGAGGACCGTGACTAAGGAATTGTATCGGATTGCTGTGATTCTTTGTCATTGGCCATGGCTCATCGAGCCAGATGTAGACACCTCTGGGGTTCTTGTTGTAATTTCCCGGGGCTCGCAGAGACGTTGTGTCAAGGGCAGCACAGTTGTGGCTAACCTCTCCGTTCTTATTAAAACAATTCACGTCTAATCTCTTCACTTACTTCAAAAATTGATCACCAGGGTGCCTGCAGGGTATTTCCGAATTTTGGCGGTCTTAGTGGAGTTGTTATTTAAAATACAGATTTTAAGCCGTAATTACGTTTAGCAGTAGAAAGCGTTTCCTCTTCACCAATGTTGCTCGTGGTAATTAGACTCCATACTTTTGAATTTAAAGCAGAGCTAATGTGTACATTTGAAACAAAGCAAAACAATTCCCGTGAAATTATCAGGGGAAATAGATCTTCAAGTGCTCTTGCTATTTATTTTTCTAACCCCGGCAAAGTTTATTGAACTATATATTTCACGTGTAAATATATTTACATTTAAACCAAGATCATTGGGTTCTACAGACCCCCGCGTAAACGTGCGGCTACAGCAGGCGAGTGATTGTTGAGAGCTAAACGGTTTTATTTCCTGCCGTCTGGTCCCCACAGATTCTGTGCAAGCTGGGGGAGAGCAACGGCCATGGCGGTCGGATCCTCGAAGCGCTGAGGCAGCGGCTCGGCTCTCTGCTGGCATCGGGCGAGGTAACCGTATGCACCAAAACTCAACTGTTTTTTATTTCACCAGCTAAGGCCCACGGAGCTACGGAGCTCTTTCTCAGACGCGACCTGGCCACAAATGATAGCCCAATGAAGTGGATTATCACGTGGAATTTTATAGCGGCCAAAATACTCTAAAACGCGTGTTTCTAAAAGTGGAAAAAATAAACCGAAGTAACCCGGAGAAAAATCCACGCGGCCACGGGGAGAACACGCAAACTCCAAATATACAGCAGCAGACGTCAGGGTCAGGATCGAACCCACGACCTCCTGTATACCAGGCGAGGTAGTCAACATCTCGCCATTGTGGCTCTGCCACTATTCCCCTCGCGCCCCCCCCCCGCCACCTGCTCACCGGCAACCGGCTAAACGGGATCATCGGTGTAACACGTAGAATAGGCTCCAACTTGTCGGCGTTGCGTGAGGAGCTGTCCGTGCCATGGGGGCTACCTGCTTTGCGTAACGACGTCGGAGCTGGGTACAGTCCAGCATTAGACTTCGCTGCACCGTCCTCAGCTGACAACATCTCCCCGTAGTGACCTACAGCGCCTGTTCTTATTCACGAGGGTCGTCTCCTTGCGTTATGCAGGCTCCAGCCTGATGAGCTTCTGAAGTCTGACGAGGCGAGGTGCGGAACCGGGTAGCCAACGTCGCAATGATGCGTGTGTTGATTTCATCAAATAGCCACCAGAGGACAACCGTCATGCAAAGATGGCCAACGTTGTATGCACATGCAAGGCCTACTTATGCATTCGCCTCCTGATAATAATGTAAAATAATTGATATCGTGCCTATCTAAAGAAGCAATTTGCAATTGTAAAATGATAGTTTGCGGCAGCATTCGATTGTACTATGCATGTGTAATGTGTGCAGCCTACATTGCAAGCAGGTTTGATGTGTTGACTGAATGTTCTGTTGGGCTTTTTCTTTATCGTGCGTAGTTGTGCCGGGCGTGATGATTCATTGTGTCCATTAGCTGTCGTCGTTATCTTACCACAGTGGTGTACAGTACTGACAATTATACACTCATATAATGAGCCAAGAATGTGTGTCCCGCACATGACGTCACTCCACGTGAGGCCCAACCCCCCTCATTAATATTCATGAGCGAGTGGATTTCTACACTAACGCAGAGGAAGGTCGAGCTGAATTAAATAATTTATTACGCAAAGTCGCTTTAAATATGACGTTTCTTTACAGAAAGTGACGGTGAAAAATATACGCAGCACAGTGCTACATCCGTACGTGACGTCACTGCAAAAGAGCCCCCCCCTCATTAATATTCATGCCCGCGTGGAAATGTATACTAACGAACAAGACGGACGTGCACTCCACATGCCGCACCCCTCCCCAATAACCATTAACGGGTGACGTCACTCCACATGGGGCAACCCCACCCCCCTCATTAATAATCATGAGCTGAACAATTTATCTATTGAATATTTCAGATTTACCGCAAAATAAAGACAGGCAAAAAAGCCAGTGAAATATAAAAGTATGCGAGTGCAGTTTCCCAGCACTGTATCGCTGCCGTGTGCTACAAATGGAACGGCGCGCTCTGGCCCAGATGTATGGCGATGATGGATCTTAAAAGCACGTGTCGAGGGTGACTCCCTCATCGTCGCTGAGGAGTTGTACCAGTGTTGTGCACCTGGAGCTTGAGCTGTCGGATAACGACGCCGGGTCCCCGGCTTGATGCAGCCGAGTTTTCTCTTTAATGAGTCGGATTTCAGTTTTGACGTTCCGTTATTCTCGTTCCTGCGAAGGCCTCTTCTGGGGATGACCTCAAAACAAAGACCAAACGTCTTCGAAGAGGCGGCCATACCCAAACTTCTAATGGCGATATGGGGGTCTTTGTCTTTGTTTGTCTTGAATGCAGGCAAGGCTGATGAGTCGGATGCCTACTATGACCTCCTGTCCCAGGTGCTGGTTAAAATGGTCCCTCGGGATAGAGCCATCTCGTTGGGTGATCAAAGTTAGGATTTAGCTAATCCAAAGTGGGTTTAGAGGTTGATTTGTACGTGAAGTGTTGTTTCATTGTTATCGGTACACTATGTGAAGTCAATAAGTGCTGTCCGTACATTATACTACATGTACAGTATTGTGTTTTTTAAACCTTGGCTGCGTTGGGCAACTCTGCTGCTTGAGGTGCGACGGCGTTGACGCCGATGTTGACGACGACGACGTTGATGACGACGTTGACGACGATGTTGACGACGACGACGTTGACGACGGCGTTGACGGCGTTGACGGCGTTGACGTTGACGAAGTTAAAGACGTTTACAAAGTTGACGATGTTGACGATGTTGACGACGACGTTGATGACGACGTTGACGACGATGTTGACGACGACGACGTTGACGACGGCGTTGACGGCGTTGACGTTGACGAAGTTAAAGACGTTTACAAAGTTGACGATGTTGACGACGACGTTGACGGCGTTGACGACGTTGACGACGAGGGGACAAACGGCGCCGCCGTGGTCCCTCGCATGACCCCGTGCAGCGGCGGGGAGAATCTCGTGTGCAGTTCAACTACAAAGTGCAGCCCGGCCACGCTGCTTTTCGCGGACCGCTCTGGGGAAGCGACCTCTGCCGCCGCCGGAGGGCTTTGTGTTTATAAACCCCGCCGAGCCGGGCGTCCGCCTTCTCCCGGCCCCGCCGAGGATCCCCCATTCGGCTAAGTCATCCCGCGAGGCCGTGCGCGCAGGTGCGCGGCATATGGCTGTCGGTACCGGTCTCGTGTCGTCTCTCTCGGCAGGTTTGCGTTTAGTCGGCTGCGGAAGCGGTGGGGAAACCCCCCCCCCCCGCCCCCTGAAATCAAAGCGTTGACTCTGGAGCGGCTCTGATTGCGGTGTCCATCGCGTGTCTCTCCGCCGATGTGTTGCATCGCGATCCTTCTTCTTGGCCGGTCAGCCGCTGAGAGCTGCGCAGGCTGTCAGCGCTGTCAAGGGTTCAGCAACACCGTCTCTTGTGGGATGTTTAATTACAAGTCGACAAGAGCACGTTCACAACGTGTGTCGCTATGGTGTATTGTATAAGAGGCAGCTTTGAATAGGCATTGCTTCACTGTGATATGCAATTGCTTCACTGTGATATGCAACGTCCTGAAACTGTCACCATTATGAAGGTCATCACGGTCCTTAAAGGTGGCGGGGGAAAGTGTTGTGGTTGTGGAGAACGAGCACTGGATGTGAGTTCCGAAAATCTCCGTTGGTCATTTTATTTTTGCCCGATAACCGTCGGCAATGTCGGTTCCCGGTGAGGCTCAATAATTTTTTTTTTACTTTATGATTTCAGCATGCAGATCTGGACTTTCTTTCTAGTTTGACAACATTACAGCTTCTAGATTGGCTTGCTGTGCATATGCACTCTGGTGGGTCTGGACGGTATTGCACGTTTTTCATATATTTGTGCAAATAAAAAAAAACTTCCAAACTGTTACACATTTTAAGGAAACATAAAAAAAAATCTGAAATCAGTATTCTTCACAATTGCTCCTTGCTTGCAGCAGTAGAAGGTGGATAACAAAAATACTTTTTGTAACAGAGCCCCTACTTTAACCTGGATAAAAGGGGAAACGGTAAAGGTGCAGGCCTGCAATGTCTTCCTCACATCACTGCTGGTAGAAGGCCCTTTGACGAGAGCGAGCGCGAGAGAGCCACTGTCGTGGGTATTTGGCCCACTAGTCAATCCTGGCGAGATGTCTCGGAGGAGGAGGTGGAAGTGCCAACACTTGCGACCCGCCAATCCGCTCGCCGTGGTTTACCCAAGCGTGCCGTCACATGGACCAGAGGTGTGCGGTGATTTAAGTAACTTGGCACATTTTGAACCGCCGCCCGGGAAACTGAAGCGGCGACCTCGAGGTCGACGGGACGCTCTCCTGCGGCATCCCGCGCGGCGGTTTGCTCCACTGCCAACGGACGAGCCCTGCGAGAGCGTCTGTGTTGCTGTGACAGTGAGATCTTCACGGGTGATTTACGTCCCGAATTGGATCTTGTGACCTGGGCATATGTCATCACTGGTTGATTTTGGTAAAGTGAGCGCGGGAAGGGGTCGGGGGGGAATAGACACAAGTGGGGGGAGAAAAGGTGCCCTGACCCTATAATTACCCCAAATGTCAAGGCCTACATTTAACTCCTGGTTTCAAAAGCGGTTTAATTGAGTGTTGTGCTGGAGCAAGAGCTGTAGGGCCATGGCGAGATGGGAGTATGTCAGAGTAAACCGAAGCCCTGCCACCTCGGTGCACTCCACATTTCCAACTGTTTCATAATTTATCAACTGCATGGAATTATATTAGTGGCAGACATGAGTGTAACTCTTTCAGCAGGCACAGTGCTTATCTGATCTATATTTCAATTGAAACGTTAAAATTATTCAACGTTAAACAGTTTGGCTTTTAAACTTTTTTTTATTAACTTTTTTAGTGTTCCGTAGGCTTTTTCTTTCTCACAGTTCAAAGTCTTTTTTGCCACTAAATTATTTCTGGGATTTCCAATGGATACCTAGGAATTTCTCAGAGTTGAACACTTTTAATGGAATTTAGAAGAGTAATATTGAAAGATTTGTTGCTTGCTCATTTTAGCCACTTGTAAATCAATGATGTTGAAATTCCTCATTCTTTCTGAGGCACCAAATCCGAATATGTCGTCTCCAATACTTTACAACTGCCCCTTCGTTCTTAATATGGGCCATCGCCTCATATTCGTTCACCAGCTACAGTACATTTTTTTTACGTATCGAGTACAGTGGTGTTAGTAACAGGAGACGCAAGCCCTGCTTGGCTGATGCTTGTTCACCACTGCGAAATGAGTCCCTCATGTTTCTGCTTATAACCCCAATTCACCCCACACTGTTGTCTGGCGGGCTGTCATGCAGAGGTCATGTCACTTTCGAACCAAAGTTTCTATTAAAGTTGTCGTAACTTAGCAAACAATGCCCCGCTGCAAATCAGCGGGTGAGGAAAGCGAGCGGTGCTCCACCGTG